ATAAGTGGTTTTGACGTTCACGTCCAAACGACTCAATATTTTAAGCTTACATTTTGCGACAAGGTAAATACACCATTCCTCTATATTTTTGCGTTAAAATTTCATACGTCCACGGTCCCTTTAAGTATGCTAATGTAATCTATTATGCATTGTAACCATATGTATCAAGCTTGATATAAAACATAGAGGCGAACTGATACATTGTTATTCCTGGTAAAGGTAAAACCAATTTCTTAACTACTTGAGATAGTAAGAAGAAAATACACAACGTGAAGAGGAATCCAAAGAAGAGAATTACGAATACTTAACGATCACGACGCTATTAAAATATATAACAGAAGAGAGTATGCATCACACGTTGGATGTGGGAAGTCTTCGGCTTACTGGCTTTCCGCATCTAGTCAGCGACTGCATAGCACTAGGCCTACCACTACAGTGTAACCAAATCCTTGACGCTTCTAAAATATTTCTATTGGCGTTGCAGATTGTTTTGTTGCCCAAACGTGGCATATTAAAGGCTTTTTATAATATTTATTTCTGTGCCATAGAGTTAACTGGTGAAAATTTAACGCCCCGACGAATATTGGTAAAGCCTGCGGTGACACTGCTGTAAGGAAGACTGGGAAAGACAATGATATTTACATTTAAGAAATGCGCCATGGGCGGACTGCCGTGCAGTCAAGACAACGTATCTCCTTTATGGATGGAAATTGTGCCGAATTACAATGCGCTAGAAATACACATAGTATTTGGTGAAATATATCAACAAATCCAAAATAAATGGAAAAACATGGATTATGTTCAAAGAAGCAACTGTACTGGAACAGTGTAGGGAGGCCCCAGAAATCGCGAAGGAACCGATAGCGAGCACAAGTCAAAGTGAAACTGGAGGTTCCGGTACCCATGAATAAAAAAGAAAAACACAGAAAAGAAAATCAAGTGACACAGAGAAAAATTAGCATAATTGAAGGACAAAGACCAAATGCCGATAGAACATTTAAACAAGATTCAACAGGAAAATTTAAAAGTGCTAAACAAAATAGCAGACAAGTTGTAATTTGGTGCTTACACAATGTCTAGTCAGTTCGTTAATTTCTAATTAGGAGGTAATGCTTTGAACTACATATAACTTGAAAGAACTATACAATAATTCAATGTGAATTTTTCTTTTGATTACTCCAAATATGAATAGAAAATCATATATATTTTAATTGTTATAATATTTTTTATATTTGTAATATTGTACAGGCATTTGTTCTGAATGTTTTTTTTAAATGTGCGTTTAATGTCTATTGTTTTATAACAATTTTTCTGTCAATTTACTGTTCTTAAGACAAAGATTATGCAGGACACAAGAGGCAAGTATGGTGTGACACAATAGTTCAAACACTATCCTAATTGTAATTCCGGTAAGCCACGGAGCTCGTTATGAAACGTGACCTTGGTAACATGAAAGTGTGAATTAAAGACTTTTAAGGATTGTAGAGGTACTGTATGTTCTTCATAATATTCTATCCTTGGAACTTTATTTCGTTTTTCCGGATTTAATAGTTCCAATAAGACGCCAATGAAAAAGTCATCACCAATTAAAGTTTGTTGGTGGATTATATTGTCTGCCCGTCGTTATTTATCAGAACACCGAGCCGTGGTTCTATTCAGACGCTCTTTCATTCTCCAAAATTTATAGCCACGAAAGCTTCTTGATGTGACACAATATATATCTAAACAACGCGCTGCGTCGTTATATTACCCGTTCCCACTACGCATGTCCAAACGTACTCTGGGATCCTGATCGAGTAAGCCCGGATCAAGTAATTAAACGCGATACTTGGGCGGTTTATGAGGTATGCCCCGAAAACGAAATCCCCCTCCCCTTAACTTCGTCCGGCGCGGGGTAATAAACATTACCAGTTAATGGCGCAACCATGATCTTCCAAGGTACATTCGGGAAAATAAAATACTGATTTGTTTTAAGATAACATTGCTGACATATCTTTCTAGCAATATCTGTGCTAGTACTATGAACTGTTGGATACAGCGCAGAACTATAGATGATAATACGTTTATACGTGCTTCAGCTTTTCCACCAATCGGGCTAATGATGATTAGCGTGCATGCAGTGCGCTTTGGAGGAAATTGTGCCCCGACAGCGGTGCTCCGGCATACTCTTATTTCATATTCTAACTGTCAATGATTCCTTTACTTGCACATCAGCGTGAACATTATGACCTAGGGGTTTCGCTCGATTCGAACGACCAGACACTGTTCCTTGCCAGCTCTCCAGTCCTGCATCACTTGCAAGGACACGCTAGCTAGAACGTCATCGTAAAACGCACATGGTCTAGCATAAACAAGAAGCTTAACTAGACCATGAACATTGTTTAATATTGTTCAGTGAAATGGCACCGCGAAAAACGAAAAGATCAACGCATATTTGATATTCATTGCTACCAGTCCCTGATTGGTTACTATATGGGTCTCTATTCGCTTTTGTTGTATGAATTCATTGTTGCGATTGTCATCATTTTCATTATTTGTTTTCATTTGTGCCGAATGTAATCAATGACCATAAAGTCATTTCAACCAATTACAAAAGCTTGCGGATCTTTATGAAACAGCCATGGTTAATATACGTTTATAAAACACCAAGTTAAAATCATCCATCTTTTCTCTTAACAAACAAACTGTTGGCATTCAAGATAAGACTCATCCCCTCATTCTCTCAATGCTTCACGTTGAATTTATAAAACAAAAACAATAATTGTTCAAACACTCTGACCTTTATCACATTTATAAAAATGAAAATCTATACATTTCATGCTTCCATTTTCCTAATTGATGACGCCAACAAGAAATTGTTGACCGAAGTTCGGGTGGACTGATGAACAGACAATATTGGCAGTTGATTGGGTTCATAATCACAATGGCTCACACAAATTTTGAATTTTGAATATCTTTTTTCTTCAAAAGCCCTTGTCTCTTTTCAATAAAAAAAAAATGCTGACGGACCGGCAAAATGACGGGCAGACGGATAGCCATGAACAACGTTTGAGTTCGTCCTGCCATGCTGCAAATGTTAAACTTCAAAATGAAAGAACATCGAAAGCCTGTATTACTTTAAAAATAAATTTGTGACTGACGGACGAACTGTTAGACGGACATGAACTAATAATTATGAACTGAGCCATTATTGTCACCTATAAAAGACCCTAATGTTGTAATGTCGAGTAAAAATGTCGTATTGGCGGGTTAAAATGTCGTGATGTCGTAGTGTCGTGGTGTCGTGATGTCGTGGGGAAGTGATGTCGGGTTATCGGCCATATTCCTCTCAATACCATGATTATCTACACTGATCCTGGTTTTGGCCAGGAAAGTTCCCCTGGTTTTTGCAGCGTAGTCTCTTCGTTTCGGTAGTGCAGGAGAACGGGTCTGGCAAAGTACAATGTCTAGTTGTGTAGATGGGACAAAAACAAGCTCATGTGTACCGATTGGCGTGCACATTAAAGAAGCCTTCACAGTTGAATTTCGATGAGGAAATGCTATTGAAAATGTCCGTCATCTCACTCTGCATAGCATATGCCTTCAATAGTCCGATTGGTGCAGAAAAGTAGGAAAATTAAATGAAATGAAATTGTGTTTAACGTCCTACTGTTCTGCTCTGACTGGGCTAATGAAGACGCGCATACACTATACAGTGTACTGTGAGGGAAACTTTGCCCGGATAGCGGCGCTACGGCCTACTCTTATACTGAATTCCAACTGTCAGGGGGTCTGTTACGTGATCGCTAATATGTACACGGAACCTCGATTTTTCGTCCTACCCAAAAGCCTATACGTTATTCCATGCCAGACCCTCCGTCCTGTGCCACTGTAAAAAGGAATCACGCCGGAAAATTCCCGATGAGCTTTCTTGGCCAACGCAGTGATCGAACACGAGACCTCAACGTTAGGGAGCCAACGCCGTAATCACTGAGTCACCGTGACAACCAGCAAAGTAGGACATTAAACCCCATTTGTGGAGTGATACCTCTTTCACAGTGGTACAGGACGGGGGTGGGGGTGGCATGGGATAACGTATAGTCGTTCGGATGGTTACGGAAAACAGGCCCCATTTACATATTGGCGTGCACGTAGCGCCGCTATCCGGGTACGGTTTACCTCATATAGTACAATGTATAAGGTATGTCCGTCTTCATTAGCCTAGTCGGAGCAGATCGAAATGAATTGAAATGGAGTTTAACGTACTGCTGATCTGCTCCGACTGGGCTTATGAAGGCGGGCTTACACCATTCAGTGTTTTATGAGGGACATTTTGCCCGGACAGTGGCGCTACGGTCTACTCTTATATTGAATATTGCTGTAAATGTACATCCCATCTTGATACAAATGTCTATGAAATAAAAGTTGTTTGTTCTCAAATGATAAAGTACAGATTACACTGTAGGGGTGTGTAAATTAAGACATTTACTCTTAATCCACACAGAAAAATTATTATAAATTTCATGATTTGACATTTAAACCAGGATTCATCTCTTCAAGACACCATTTTGTAAATCTGTTTCTGTGGTAGAGTGTCAAATACTGTTAAGAATTGTAGTCGGCACCATAATATATGCGTCGGTATCTTGTGCCACAAGAAGGCTTGGCCTGTTTCACATATAATTTGAGCTTATGCTTGGCGGTAAATTATGGAGATTGTCGTAGTCATATGAATAAACTAAAGAATGAATCTTGGGAGTAAAGGTACGATATCAATCAGACTTTATTAGTGATTATCGATGATGATTTATGAGTATGTCTGCGTCAAACCGGAAATATAAGTGGTTATAAACAGGATTAAACATATTTCTTGATCAAATTCTTTTAAAAAAAAATGTTTTGATTGATCGATTACTGTTATAATTTGCTTGTGGGTACCATTTTCCGAGACGCTCCCCTACACACCCCGACGAATATAAATAAACCTGCCCGATTGAGTTTCGTTACATTTCGTCCTTTATTGTCACCAGGTACAAACAGCAATTTGAAGACTTTGGTGAGTTCATATACTCTTTTTTTCACTTCATATTAACGAAAGCATTTTCCCCTTTTGTTCAAGATGTTATTATCAAACTATTCTAATATTTTTTTGTTTGTAGAGGATATTCGCGATCCGAATGGCAAAGACTAATTCGCCATTTGTTTCCGTTATTTGCGATCCTTTTTATACGTCCACATTCATAATGTGGACGTATTTTGCCGTCACCCCTGTCTGTGGGTATGTGTGTGTGTGTGTGTGTGGGGGGGGGGGTGTCACCTACAGGGCGCAATTCTTAATGGATTGTCTTGAAACTTTGCATACTTATTCCTCATACCCTAAGGATGACATATATTGTATTTGGTGCCTGCCCGAACCCCAGGGACAGATCAACGGCCATATTTTTTTATATTGGGCGTCTACGGGCTGCATTTCTTAACGAATCATCTTGAAACTGTGCATACTTATTCCTTATACCCTAAGAATCATATACCCTACAGTTTTTGATGCGTGCCCAACCAACAGGGACAGAGCCACGTCCATTTTCTCTTTGTGTGTCTGTGTGTCGCCTACAGGCCGCAATTCTTAATGGGTCGTTTTGAAAACCTCTCATACCATGATTCCTATTGTTTGGGGTGAAAGCCCGACCCCCAGGGGTGGTCACACACATTTTTTCTTTGTGTGTTGTCTACAGACCACAATTCGTAATCGATTGTCTTGGAACTTGACACATGTATTCCTTATAGCCTAAAAATGGCAACTATTGATGTTGATGCACGTTCCGATCCCCAGGAGCAGATCCAAGCCCAATTTTTGTGTTTATGGTATACAGGCCACAATTCTAAATGGATCATCTTTGTACTTTTCTATAGAACGTTCTCGGGCGATGGGGGGGGGGAGGGGGCTATTCCATTTTCTATAGGATGAAATTCTATGGTATTCTACAGAATTTGGGGGCCCTGAAGGAAATAATAGCCACAAATATTCTACAGTTTCTGTAGTGCAAATCCTATAAATGTTCCAACAAGTTTTATGCTAAAAATTTTAAAAGAAAAAATAAAGTATTATGTAGGTTTTTTTTATAGTGATTTCTATAGTAAATTCTACAGTTATGTTTTTGTCTCTAAGCAAGTTTTAAGTTTCTTGTTAATACTAACTTAAATGAAGTTGTTATACACGTACGTACATGTACATTGAATTTAAAAATTTAAAATTCAGCCAATGGATATACAGTCTTTTCTTGGATTAACTTTAATCAGTCCGTTAGCTAATGGATAATGAAATTGACTTTCCAGCAACAGAAATTTAAGGGACCCTTAACAAACTGGCCCCAGGCAATTTTATTTCAATAATTCGCTTGTGCGCAGAAGTCTTAAGATCAGGGGAACCAGAAGGGAGCCCTCGAGGCTGGACAGGTGACCCACCTCCTTGTCACGTACAAGAGCGGAACCGAAACCACCCCACTTGACTCGATAACATAACTTCTGATCCAACGCGCACGCGTTAACTATTTGGCCACCCAGCTCCCCGCCCAAATGCAGTATAGCTACCTAACATGGATGAGTCACGGTGACTAAGTGATTAAGGCGGTGGCTCGCTAGTCGTTCGGATGGGACAAAAAGGCAAGGCCCCGTGTACATTGGCGTGCACGTAGAAGACCTCTTGGTAGTTAGCATTCGATGTAAGTGGAGGCCGTAGCGCCGCCGTCCGATCAAAATTTTCCTCATAGCACACTGCATAGTGTATGCCCGTCTTCATTAGCCCAGTCGGAACAGAGCAGTAGGGTGTTAAACCCCACTTTATTGCATTTGTACCTAACGTGTTCGATCCCAGTGTTGGCCTAGAAAGTACATCTAGATTTTCCGGCGTGTTCCCCTTGTCAGTGGTGTAAGACGGAGGGTCTATCAAAGGACAACATGAAGTCGTACGGGTTGGACGAAATAGGGCTGCTGGTTAAGAAAAGTGGGACGTTACACCCCATTTCATGTGGTAACTTGGGAAGGGCCCAACACTTAATGAATGATCTACTGTATGCTGCAAAATGAAAGACAATATGCATTTTAAAAAAAAGGACGGAAAATAAAGAAAATGGATGGCGATACTCTTTGCCATAAGATGGTGGGGTGGGGGCGATGGAACGGTTAGTGCGTGCGCGTCGCATCATGAGGTTTGTCATTGAGTCAGTTGGCATGGTTTCGATTCACCGGTTGTACGTGACAACTCTGGTGTTTTTGCAGGTCCTCCGGTTTCCTCCCACTACTAAAGACACCTACGCGCAAGCGAATTGTTGATATAAAATAGAACCATGTGTTAGTCCAGAAATGACCTAGTTTGTGTCGAGTGGACGGTAAACATCTCTCTCTCTCTCTCTCTCTCTCTCCCTCCCCCCCCCCCCCGGATGGTTTTCTCTGGGTCTTCTTATTTCCTTGCACTACTAAAGAACCCTATGCACAAGCGAATTATCGAAATAGAATTTAATCATATGTTAGTCTTGTGATGAGCTAGTGAATAAGACCTATCCCTAGCTCGCTAGCCTGGGGTTCACGGTTTCGCTCTCGGGGTTGGCTGAGAAACTTATTCTGGATTTTCGAGTCGTTCTGATAGGAAATAGCCGAAACAAATTATGATGATGCCCCAAAATATCTCGTTTAGAGTCGACAAAGCCGCGGCCTGCGAAGCCGATCGACAAAACAAAGATTGATAATTCCATAAAAAATTGTCACTGTTTATTAAAGAAACCCTCGCGTAGAAACTGGCTGATTTGATGATATATTTGAACTAAAAACATATTCGAATTAATTAATCTATCAACATTTAGTCTCGAAATGGTCTAACCCCTCTGTTTACCACCCAAATCTCCAAGTATCTGTTTACAACTCATATTAGCGGTATCACATGTTCAGTGAACAAGGGAACAAAGATTATAGTTCGGTCTTATTTATAAACAAATTACAGTATTAATGTCCATTGATATATTATTCGCCCCATGTTTTCAAAGCTTATTCCCAACTGTACTGGCTCTAATCTGTGTCGTATACGGAATGATTATGCTTATCTATTCTGATGCCACTTAATTTTCATAAATATTATTACTGTGTTTAAAACATTATTAATTCTTCCTTATAGAATCTCCAAGATGATGTCCTTGAAAGTTATTGCCTTAATCGCTCTTGTAGCTGTTGCCAGTGTCTCGGCTGTTCCGTATGGTGGTCATTATGGCATGTTTAACGCTCTAGGGGGTGGCATCTTTCACAATCCATTACTATATAGCGGTATGTATGGAGCCGGGATGGCCGGTTTTCCATACATGAATGGTGGTATGTATGGTGGTATGTATGGTGGTATGTTGGGTGGTATGTATGGTAAATACGGTGGATACCCTAGCTACGGATACCCGCTCGGGTATGCAGGAAAAGGTTACGGTAAGTATTATAAGTTAAAAAATTTATCCAACTAGAAACTTTAGCTTATAACACAATTCATTAACTAAACTGTTGCAATAAGTTGATAAAGTTTCAGTGGAGTATTTAGGGACCACCTGCCCCATTTTTACTTACCAATTTAACACAGATTGATTGACTGTACAGCATAGTAATTATTTTATTCTCTTATGTTTTTAGTCACCCCATCCACAACCGAACTGACTGTTTTATTTAGTATGTTAGAGAACGCAATCTCGCTACAATTGCATTCATTTTTTTTGAAAATTCAGAGGTCCATCATAATTTAATGACAGATCAGCAATATAACGGTTTATGTAAACTTCATTTATTTATTTTCTATTATTTATTTTTATTTACATGATAAATTATTTTTACTTGTAGGTTTGTATTAAGAACACTGTTTAAGCACGGCTGGATATAACGGAAAAATAACATATGAACCTTCTAACGGACTCACGAAATTGTCAAATAAAATTGGATTGGTACCAATCTAGCTATAGTTATATAGAGTAGAATAAATGCAATTCATGAAAAGTCTTTCTCTGTTTTATTCTATGATTGGATGCAATGCGTGCTGTTTATGGAGTTGTATCCCGATCTTCTCCCTCGCCCAAGAACCACGGGCCACATCTTCTATTCATAACCTCGCTTAGCTCGCGTTTACTAAAATATGTTCTAGCCAGGTATAAATCTGGTGCCATTGTCTACCTGGATTCCCCGGGCTTAATTAGGATCTTTGTGAATATTGGGAGGAGTATCTTTGTGAATATTAGGAAGAGTCTACCTGGATTCCCAGGGCTTAATTTTGATCTTTGTGAATATTAGGAGGAGTTTGGCTGCAAAAATTAAATGCTCTTCTAAAATGTCATTTTTAATGAATCATAAAAAAGTAATGTTCCGAAGAAAGAAAGCCCTGTCTAAATTCTGTAACCATTTGCTTTGGCGCCTAACTTTTCACTAATGTGTCTAGCCATCTTAAATTTGACTGCTTCAGCTAGCCTTGGGGGATGCGCGCTAAACTTCGTGGAATTTCACGCCTTGAAACAGAAAATTTTCTAAAGATCTTTCACCGTAGCCCCACCCGCGCCCCTTGCCAGTGGGGACCAGTGTCTAGTCGTTCGAGTGCACTTAAAATACCCTTCGCCTTTGAACCTCGACTAAAAGTACGTGGAAACGTCACTATATGGCAACAGTGTTAAAACGATATTCTTCAAGTTTGTGAGGAATCAAGTATTGTCGACAATGGCAAAATTTCTACCTGTGCTGAGAGGGAGACAAATATGTTTAACGCAGACGTTTTAAAATTTACAATGGCGATCTTCGAGAATCAACCATTTTTCTGAAAATCGTCTGCAGAGGCCTGGCTAAGCTTTTAATTGTACTGATAATATCGACGGAAAATATGCACAAGGAAGTCAAAGAAAATATTTGTTGTTCGTTGACTCTTCGTTTCTAAAAAAAACTAACAGCAGGGAACTATTTTTAAAAGAGAGTTTTATAATTTATAGAATTCAAGATAATTTTTATAAGTAAAAATATTCAGCTTGTCGTTACATTAATGCACACAACATGAACACGAAAAAAAAAGAGATGAGAATACTATTTACAGACGACTTAATTAAAAGTAAACAAAGGAAGAGAAACATGTACACAAGATAAACTGTTTTCTTCTTAGTTCTTAAACTCATCAGGTACACACTTATAAAACTTTACCTATAATAGATAGATTGCAATAATATATATATTATTAAATAAAGGAATAAAACGTCGAAAGTAACGTTAAATATATTTTTTTCTATCAAAACATAAACCAATTATTCCGTTTCGACTATGATTCGGGAACAGTGTCTAGTCGCATGGATGATATTAAAAGCCCGAGGTCCCCGATAGCATACTACATAGCCTATGCCCGACTTCATTAACCCAGTGGGTACAGGAAAGTAGGACGTTAAACTCAATTTCATTTCATTTCGTTTGGACTATGATTGTGATATATGGATATCATCAAAACCTTTTTAAAGTTTGGATTTTTCATGTCTGACGCGGGGTTTAGCACGTACAACAGTAAAATTGTAAATACCAATTTAATTATAAACATTAGTATGGGATCGTACCTCATCAATGTAGCCTACAAAGTTCTCTAAGCCAGTACCTTTACCAATTGTCATAGAACAGTCCACTCTATCAATATCAGATTGAAGACCTGTAAAAAATATTATACTCGATAACTATGACTTTGTTATCAGCTTGGAAACCACAATTCAGTGCTTGTGAGATTTGCAGAAATGAAAAATGCTATTATTAACACTATCAATGTTCACTATTATAATCCTACTTTAATTATTTACATAACTTTTAAAATAAAATTATCATTGTTTTTACTTACCATATCCCATGATAGGATAGATGTTGTTATCAACTCTTAACTCGGCTTTATGTCCATTCTTTATTAAAACTACACTATGCCAACTTGTCAACGACTGCAATAAGAAATTTGTTTGGAGCTATAAGACGTTTTCTTTGATTCATTAAACTGGGCCAAACTATTAAAAACAATTGCAGACATTTTGAAGGGGTATATATTATATGGATCTTATGTCCTTAATTTTTTCTAAAATATGCGACTTTATGGGTCTTACCAATTCATCTGAGCTGGTTGTAACAGCTTCTCCATTTTTAAGTCTAAAGCCACCGTGAATGGTTCCCGTTTTCGGTGAAGTTTTCAGCAAAGCCACGCCAAATGTTGCTTCTTTTGCACAGTCGCTGTTATCAACAAGTGCATATCTCTCTTCCCCACCTGGCCCCACCAGGTCGGCTTTGAACCGGAATGACAGAGTGAAATTGGACTTAAATTCCATATTATTCATAGCCCAGGCGATAACTTGTCTTTTACCATCAAAATAAACAGCCCCACCTCCGACAGCTGCTGGTTCAGATGTTCTTATCCAAGTATTGAGACCACCGGATGCAGTTTTGCCCATCTTGTCTTTAATGTTGATGTCAAACGGGAAGTAAATGTAAGGGTCGCAAAAGGCTATATATAATTTTAAAAGATATAATATTATTACAATTCAGTTAAAATGGGGATAGTTCCAGTCTACAAAGTATAATTACAATTTAAAGGCCAAACCGTGACGAAAGAGTTGACCTGGACGTTTCAGCTAAAGTTACTGAAGCGTTCGGAAATGATCGTAAAATCTATGATTTGAGAAATTATATGATTCCAAGATGGGTAATCACGAATATGTAGCCATAGCTGTCCAGAGATTTGAGAAATGAAATAAAGCGTGATTTAACGTCTTACGTTTCTGCACCGACCGGGATAATGAAGACGGCCATACACCATTAGTGAAATTTTGACCCGACCGCGGCGCGACAACCTACAGTCAGGGATCTGCCAAAAATGGTCCCCGGCACTTCAGAATACCATGGGATTAATCAGAAAAAGCAAAAAAGTATCACATAGCTTAGGATAGCTGTACATGGCTACGATAATTGTTTTTTAAACGCTTTGGATTCCCCAAAGATATATCTGGGATCGGTGGCTTCTCCAATTACACAAGAATAAAATAAGTAACACATTGATGATAGTGTGATCCAGAGAGATAGCCATGCGTATCCCACTGAAGTTACTTCTGAAAACTTACCAATATTGATGAAGTCTGCATTATCTGTACAGCTACACATTTCTGCAGAGAATGCAGTGCCTGCAGCACAATCCATTGATATATTGGTTCCACTAATAGACCACAGATATTTACCTTTATTATCAGGATATTCAAATCTGTCACATGCTGTAAAAAGAAACTATATTTTAATTCATCAAACTAAATACAAACTTGAAGCCGCTTATATTTCTCGTATAATCGGGTAGACCACGCTAACAATTAGCCTACTTGATGTACTTTTGTAAGGAGGGTTGGATGGCCGAATGGGTAGCGCATGCGCGTTGTATCAAAAGGTCTGTCATTCAGTCAACTGGAGGGATTTCGATTCCCCGGTTGTACGATTTGACACGCTTGTTCGTTGACCAACCACTCATCGATTGGCTGACTTCGAATTCTGAAATGGCGCCACAATTCCACGATTGCGGCAAATACGACATGCTGAGTTTTCTATGTTTGAATTATCAAACTTAAAAATGCGGAACTAAAGTATTTTGAGAATAGCAGTCATAATTTCTCTCCCAAGGTAGTAAGAAGCAAAATCCTAATAGGAGTTCCTGATGAATTAAAGTTTAAATTGGTTGGTTGTCAAATTCAAGTGCGTCTAATTTAGGCGTGTGTTGAACTACGTGTGCTTTGTACAACGGACCCCAGATATTTACAAATATTAAAGATTCATTATGGGAGATTAGATAAAGAGCTGGCAGTTATCACTATAATAGTTAAAAACTATATAATGTAAAGGGAATTTGCTGAAAATTTCAGTCAAATTGATCCACTCTGAACCGAGAATTTAGCGACTGAATTTTCGGCCTAGCCTCGATCATTATTACTGAAGTCGGTACGATAAAAACATAGTCTTGATTATCCATTTCATGATTAAATTATGAATGAAAGTTGAGCAGTAAATCGGATCCTAATCCAGTAAATATCGCCATCTTGAGTTGATTATGGTCTGGATAAGTACATTAATGTCTCATTAATAATTTAGATAACATTTCAGGCATAAAGAAAGACCTGCAGTAGGCAGATTTAGCTCTTGCATAATGTATGTTTAATATTATGTTTCGTAAACACTTTCCAGCGTGGCTTTGCTTGGGGCATACGATAAAAGAATAAACTAAAATATTACCCAGTAACTTAGCGGTAGTGTTGGAACTGTTGGGTAAACATGCATCATTACAAGTATAATCCTTGTAACATCGGCCATCAACTTCCGAAAATCTTTCATTCTTATCACAACAATTAAACTGCAGACGTAATCCATCGGTACAGGTAAAATAACCATTACACGTTCTTAAATCTCGTAATGTCAGCGACTGATTGAAACAAGGGTCTGTAAAAAGAAAATATATATGATTTTTAACTATGGATAATTTTTATATCGGCAATGAATCAAGCAAATCTAATATATTTTAAGCTACAGATCCTTCGGGTTTTTCGGTAAAACTAACCATAGCCTCGGTCACCCAGAACCTCCTAGTCTTCAACGTACGGAGGGTTTGGGACCGTTGTCAATATTTGACGAAAAGTCCATTGCCCAAGCGTAACCTGGAGATTGTTTTTTTTTAATGTGCTTAATTTTCCTGTACCTTCTGGCCAAGTCAAGTAATAGTTGCGCCCCTTTCCGCAATAAATCCCATAAACACCGTATTAACCCTATTCATTCTAGGGTTTAAATAGGGATTATCATTAGGATTGATCGAATAAAGTTCTTCTTCTATATAACGGTATGTAATCGAACTTTATAATATATCAAGTGTTTCCACATAAATCAGTTAAGTGACGCAAGAGTTGGTTTCTTGTATTGTAATGAGCATTCAAATAATGTCATGCACAAATACGTATATTCGTAGTTGGACAGAGCAAAATAAACATTGGAATATTTGACTGGTTCTGAGCTAGTGAATGAAATTACATGCAACAATCTTGTGATTATTTGATCATAGAAAGAAAGAGAGAGGGGAATTTGGTTTAACATCTACTCACCACAAACTGAGCATTTCAGGACTATGGTAACAATTCTATTTCAAGATTTTCAAGATGTCAGGTGTGAATGCTTTTTTATCAGTGGGAGGCAACCGGAAGACCCTGATAAAACCCATGAGGTTAGGCAGGCGACCCTACGCCTTGTCACTTGCAAGTGTGGGATCGAAATCGCGCCACTTAAATCAGATGTTACGCTCTAAAGTGTGATCCATTGATCCTAGTTTAAACAGGGGTTAAACACAAATAAAAGCCTTTATATTTATGATATTTTCCCTTAGAGTGAAGTTGGTTAACAAAACACAATAAATTCATAGTATGCAGAAAATATGGGTTGTGTGTCGGTCTTACTTGTTGGACAATCTGATTCTTCTGGCCAAACACATTGTTTAACTTTCTGGGACCATAGTAATCCTCGTGTACATTCCTTCACTTGACCAACTAATCTTTTATCTTGACCAATAGTACAATGGACAAAAAGATGACAATATTTAGGATGATAGACATAACCTGATCCTGTTGTTGTATCACATTCTTCACATAAGGCTGAAATACAAACATACAATATTATCTTTCATAAAACATGTGTCTGTCCATTTATTAAGATATTAGGTCATTTAATTAGCACTCTACACCATTTTCATTGGCGTCCATCGGTACGGTGCTATTACATGTATTTGGACAATAACTTGGTGAAGTATAAGTAGGAGATTTGTTGCTTTTCGATATGACCCATCAACATGCGTACGCAGAGAACTCGGGTTTTAAAAAAAATCATCAATAATTATCCTTTCGTGAAAGTTAACAAGACTTTCAGACAGTATCATCCACGTAATAAAACAATTCACCGCGTTCGCTAGTTTTAAGAGTTATAATAAAGTAAAATTGGAAATGCAGAGATTTTCACTTAACAAATTCTAATTCATAATTTTGGTAGGTGTCAATTATCCAGGAAATGAGAAAACTTGAAATAAATCTGTATAGGACTAATATATTGTATAGTACTCGATGACAAAATCGTATTCATTAAACGGGTTGACACACGACGATTTAATATTTGATTATTCTACGGCAATGAGTGTGTGTGCCGCAATTATCATTGTTCTTTACAATAAAATCCAGAAACGATATTATGCCAAATATCACAAGAAACTAAGCGTCAATTGGCCATGGGCATCTTGGCATCATTAGTTGTCCAACCTTGCCAATAAGGTTTTATCGATAGGATAAAATAACTAAACAGGATCTCAAACTATTCTGTTGGTACTTTGTTAATATTACCGTTTCTTGTTAGAAATATGTCAACACGGTCTTTTGTTGATAATACCAGTTCATTCAGCATTTACAGAATGTGTAAAAAAATCTAGTTTTCAAATATTATATCGAAATAAAGCGACTGACTTTTTGAGACGATGTTATCTGACATTGTATACGTGACAACTACTTGGGCTATACACACGACTAAAAAGTTCTTTGATAATGTTTCGTGTCGTTGCAATTGGTAGGTATGCCGTCTATGTTTTTTGGTATTGTTTCCAGTCTGCTTTTGTATTTGCGGTGCAGTCCGCCCATCTGTAATTGTTAGTATAAAGAAATACCCCATTGTAGCTAACTGAGCTAATCCAAAATTTAGATGTATTTTTTTCCCAAATATTTTATTACTAGGTGGTTTTGTATGTATAATATTATGCAATACTATGAACTATTGTTTCACACAATGCTCCAAAACGCCAAAAATATCGGCCCGTGTGCAAAAGAAAAATTGCACGAGATGCACATGAAAAACCCAATATTCACGTGCAGCATTGTGTGTGATCCCTTTAAAAGCATGTTTTCAACTTAATGTGCAGTACATGAACTGTGAAACGTCAATCTGTCGTAATTTGTTGTTGGACGTGTGAAGGAATCGAGCTAGAGACTTACTGAAAATCAACGGAATGAGATCATGCGAATGTCCAGGGCTGGCATGTCTACACGTGCTATTGCCAGACACTTCAATTGTCATCAGTCCACTATTGTAAGGTTGGTGGAACGTGTTCGAGTTACTGGATCAACACGTGACCGTCAACGTCCTGGTCCACAACGCGTTACAACCTAGGCTCAAGCCCGCTACATCCAGGTCACTCATCTGCGTGACAGATTCCGCCCAGCGACTCGAACAGGTGCAACAGTCGTCGGAAGACAAGGACCAGTAAGTGCCAACACCGTAAGACGTCGTCTAAGAGAAGTAGGCCTCCGTGCACGACGACCTTATGTTGGAGCTATCCTCAGGGATCATCACCATCAGCGGCGTTTGATATGGGCTCAAGGACGCCAGACATGGAGAAGAGTAGACTGGCAAAGTGTGCTCTTCAGTGATGAGAGTCGCTTTCATCTTTATCACGCTGATGGCCGTCAACGTATGTGGAGACGTCTTGGGAACGTCTTGCAGACTGTTGCGTCTTCGAAACGAATCGATGGGGTGGGGGAAGTGTAATGGTGTTGGGAGGCTTCACATTTCATCACCGGACCGCCCTACACATTTGCAGGGGTCGCATTAATGCTGTAGCCTACCGTGATGATGGCCAGTGGAGGACACACGCGCTACTGACATGTGTGTCGTACTTTTAGTTTTGACCCCTCTGACTTTGTACCCTTGATTACAGATTAAACATCCATAAGTGTACAAATGTGTTGTTATTGATGTGTTCCCATTTGAATATTGTTCACAATAAGAAGCAAAATAAATAAGATATGTTTACAGGATCATTTTGTTATACAAAAACTAAGTGATGCATTTTCCATGGCGCTCAGTATATTAATTAAACACAAAATATCCAGTAACCCAACATTCCACTAATACGTAACGATAGTCGATAATTAGTTTGAATCTTTGTAAAATTATACACCCGATTAGGCTTTCATTAGAACCGTTAGGTTTGCCGATACGTCCCAGTGCTAATGACCATGAGACTCAATATGTTCAATTTACAATATTGCAGGGTAAGCTTACTCTTCCGGACAACTGGTACTACTGTTTGTCGTGTATTTTGTACACGGTGAACAGTATATTTGCTGATTACACTATTTTGCCTATACCGTTTTTTTTTTGGTTTTTTTTAGGACTTCGAATTTTGTCTAATGGTTTGGATTGTTTGTACTTGGTTTTATTTTATTGTAGAAGTCATATCCTAGGTATTGCAAAAATGACCTCTTTAACATTTGATTTTATTCGTTTAAATGAATTTTGCTATTTTAATAATTTCTCCATTTGATTGTGGTTTACTCCCAGTTTCTGCTTTTAGTTTAGCTATAAACAAAATAACAAAATTTATAACTGATTGAATTGTCAACTTTTACCATTTTAAGCCGCCCTCCTTTTGTTACATAATCACAGATTATCTGAGGTTATAGACGCTTCCTGCCAACTTGACACCTGTTCGCTATCGACAACCCTGGAGTTCTTGGTCTATGTGATTATGTAACGATTAGTTAACCTTACCTTGTTGGCATGTCTTATTTAAACTTTCTTTGATGATAAGCAAATGTTAAACCTGATATGATACATGATACATCAGCCAGATGTCTAATAAGATTCCTTTGTCTGGAAAGATTTATAAGCCCAGAGAAGAAATGAATTGACGGTCGGGTCCGGTCAGGACACGAGAGCTGAGGCCGTAGGCGCCTCGGCTCGGCACGAGACGGAACGAGGGAGAGCGCCCGAGAGTTGGCACATTTATGCCAAGCTAGGACATGGCTCCCTCAACACAAGCTAATTACGGAGTCTTAAGTTTTGTATATAATATGTTAGAAGAAGAATAAAAGTATTATAAGATGTTAAACTAGTCTTGTCATCCAGAACTTGATTAAAGAACCAATACTGTAACACTTTCTCCTCCCCATGTCTCATTTTAACCCTACTTCTTCATGTAAATAACACTGCCCCACATGCACCTCCTCCGGCAACTATGCAACTTAAATTTGAAAGGCGGTAGAAGTCATGTCAGAGGTTCCCAAGGAAATGTGAACCTCTTGCAGAATAGGCTGGCCACCGACAGAAATGAAGCCATAGTGACTTAGCTATAGAAGCTTTAGCAGATAAAATTGTGACTTTCACTATCATTATTGATATGTACAAAGAGCCTTGTCCTCAATGTAGTACTTATAGATATTCTTCATACTTTTCACCCTATATTAAGACCAACATTTTATTACTGAATGTTTGCCAATTTTTGTTGGTTTTGTTATTAGGAGAGTCTTTAAAAACCCTACTGATAGTCTTTGAGAATATCGTGCCTTGCTAGCTTACCAGGGATCAACAAGAATTGTTTTGGTTAAAAAAAAACCCAAGAAAATCTAATTTTACGTTCTTTGGGGAATTTGGGAGAGAGGATGTAATTTTCTAAAGACAAAATATTGAAAGCTGTTGAACAAAAGTTCATGAAAAATAACCGCACAACGAATAGCTATATAGATAGTCTTCTGGTTGCGTGTATTACTTAAAACTGAATCACTTACCTTCAACGTTAATTCCACGTGTATAAAAACTGGCTTGACTTTTACAATTTACAATAAATAAGAATAAAAGGCACACTACAGTGTGCATAATGGCCATTATTAGTCGATTTAAATTTTACAAGTTTTCTGAAAGTATTTTCTTTTAAATCTAGTCTCTTCCCATCTTTTTGTTATTCTAATACTTTAATCTTGGTCCATCCGGTAGAGGATGATTACTCTTTGGAAAAAATATCCAGTTACGTGATGAAGGCTGGTTGTTTTCAGATAACAGTGTTTCGGTAACGTCCTGGCTCTCAGACTGTCCACTTACTATATTCCCCCTCTATCTCGTACACACGGTTTTATTTATTCCGAGTATTTGTACAGTGCATTGTATAAACAGACAAATATTGACAACTCGGCATAAACAATGTTCTAGACCAGTCCGTCAAATACAAAATCAATATTAGTCAACAAAGGAGTAAAAAGGACGAGAACGCAGTAGCCAAGATGACAAAAGTGCTGGAACCTATCCAAACTCACTTTTCTATATAACCAGGCGCAATATCTAGTTTCCTAAAAACATAGAAATAAACCCGACTGCAGAAACTTACAGGTTTAAAATTATATAGACCCATGATTATGATTGTACATGAAAACTTGAGATTGCAATCCACAGTACAATGAGTTAATGTACTATTTAGTTTGTCATTAATATGTATAAGCCCCGAAATCATCCTGTAATGCATCAATTGCATGTAAAAATATCGCTATTTTACACATTAATGCAGTAATTCAGAAAAAAAGGCACATCTGTTGAAATAGTTAAATATGGAATTTATTTAAAGATCTTTCGTTTGGCATCAAATGTTATATAAAACATTAACTAGACATTTATTTACATGCCAGGTCCATAATCAACTTTCTAGAACACCGCATGGTTTTGATTTTCAACAGATTTAAATACGATTGGCAGTTTATGATTTAATTCAAAACTGGATAATCGAGAATTTGTTTATTATCGTAACAGCGGTAGCAATTACAACCGAGACTACATTTTAACTCCATTCCATATGAAGTAACTGAAAGTTTCAACATATTCTATTATTGCGAGAACTGTCAGCTCTTTATCTAAATTTTACATAATGCATCTTTATTATAGGCTTACGCATACATGTGGAATTGCACAGAACAAATGTGATAGTCCTAAGCTTTTTTTATACGATCAATCCTACACGTAATATGCCTAGCCTGTATAATAATATGTTCTGCATTAACATTGGTACTGACAACTATACCCCTAGAATAACTAATGACTAATTTATATCTTAGGGTCACACATTTTATAAAGCTTCAAGACAGAATTCTCAACCCTTGATTAAATACATTATTCCAACAGATAATAGCATAAAAGCAACATATAATATATTTTAATACAATGGTTACTTTTTAAATGTGTTAGTGGGGTAGTGTGGACGGACATCCACCTACTTTTCTTCGAATTCCAACTGCCGTTCTATTTCGTGCATGGTAGTATGTGCACACCCAGACTCGAGTTATTCGTCCCATTCGAACAACTACACTTTCCTTGTCAGCACTGCAGAGTCTGCAGAATTACAAAGCTGCGTTTGTACTTTTTAAAAATGTCCTATTTGGATTAGAGTACGAATTTTAAATCTATGGATCGCGATATTTCGGGTCTTGTAGACTTTTCCTTAAATATTTTTTACTATTAATTACCTTGCTAATATTGGTTATTTAAATTATTTAGTAGCCATTAAATATTGGTACTCGTTATGACATGTCTTTAATCGTTTCAGGTCAACTTGATCCAACCTAATGTTTCCGGTTTATCATGCTCACCTTTTAACTGACGTATGTCGCGCGCGAGCCAGGTTATGTTTACCCTACCATGAACACCTTGAGATTTTTCGCGTGTAGCAAATCAACTTGCTTTCGTTACTAGTTTTTTGTAGAATTGGGTGGTTGGCCTTGTATTTGACCACGGATTAGGATTGGTTGTTCATGTGCCGTACACGAAGTGGAGTATGCTTACTTCTTACTCACTCAATATACAATAAACGGGTATGCATAAACTTACGTACCCCTAAACAGACGGAACTAGATTATGTTATCTGAAACATTTAAAAATGAATGAGTCGGTAGCCAAATTCATGACCAGTTTATGCTAGCTTTGTTTTCCTTTCAAATAAAAGTCGACATCTAACTTAGTTATGTCCAATTTTAAAGCACAAAAAAAAATAAATAACAATTCGTCAAACTATACAGGTTTTTAGCGATTTGCACGACGATTATCAAAAGTCCTAAATCGTTATGGGAAATAACTTTTCTTATATTCTTAATTAACCCGTTCGTCGGCGTGGTGTCTAAAGGTATTCCAAATATGCTGGAAATAACCGGAATGTATTGAGGAATGCGGATTGGTGATTTCTTGTAGTATGAAATCAACGAATGGTTCATATAATATATTAAAAAATAACCATGCATCTATCTTGATTAAAAATTAAATTGTCGAGTTGATTGATAAAGACAAGAGCACCATCGTCAAAACGTTGCATGTTAATAAACCGGTAATTGTTATTCCATAAATAGTCTTTAGTATGTTACTGTTCAATAACAATATGCCAATCAAAGAAGCTCTGAATGTTATGTGTTGAAAATCTGCATTCGTAACAAATATTTGGTTCGTAAATAAGATCATATACAACCGATTCTGTCCTTACAGTAGGCTCTGTGAAAACTGAAATAACAATTATCTAAACAATGCACCCGATTGAACCACAACACTTTATTTTAACCAGACTCAGAGAGGTTATTTCCCTTTATAATGACAAGACGAAAAAACTTCACAGACGAAAATAACAATTTGTATGCGTTATCACTTTTTGTGAAAGCAGGCGTTAGGCATACATATTTCTGCGATACCACTTTGGTGAAAGCGGACGGCAAATAAACCTATTTCACATAGAAATACAAACCAGCAACCGTCTTAGTCGCCTCCAATAAATTGTAGTGCGGAGTTTCAAAGCTTCGTGTTCTTACTAAGAACTTCATTGTCTGGGATCATAGTCTAGGGTTACAATTAAGTGGGAAAGAAACTCAATTTAACATGAATAATATTGTAAATAATAAGGAAGCATACTGGGAGAACAACTTAAAAAATATGCCTGTTTGAGATGATGCCAAAACACCTTTACATGTCAAATCAATGCACTGATTCTACATCTATGAAAGTTAAAGGCAAACGTTGACATCCTTATTCGGACAGTCAAGAAGGGCACGTCATTTTGTTGTTTTATCACCACCATAACGGTTGGATGCCCCAATAGCTTGGATCACTTGGAGATCCAGGTTTGGTTACCCAACAACATCGGCATGACAACAGAACATAATTAATACATTTATCATGATCCCCAGTAACCGTCAACTGCCACAATAAAACCGTTTCTTTGTGCAATGCACCTGTAAATCTTTTTTGATATTAAAGAATCGTCGTGTTCTTTTTTCAAAATTGATATCAAACATTGTCACATATTCTTACCTGGACAGTTACCAGGTTGGCAAGAGGACCGAGTTCTGCTTCTGTTCTCCTCCTACAGACCTCGATCACCAATTACATCCAATCTTAAATACAAAACTTTAACTTAATGTCTTTTTTATAAAGAGAATTGACACAGTTTATATGCTTATGTTGGGTAAAAATCCAAATTAAACATATCCGATCCTAACCAGTATTAACAATGCACAATCTAATGGGAATCCAGCGATACGACATATTGGTGACTGGGAAGCTAAACTGCATACATGATTTGTATTTTGAATGATTATATGGGAGGGGGAGGTGAGTGGGGGGTGGGGTGGGGTGGGGGTGGTTAGGGCCCAACTATCTTCGTGGGTTTTCGCCACCTGCGACTTATTAATTTAATAAGTACATGAAATGAATCATAACCCAATCTTCTCTGATATGAAATCCTTTTTAGTACGAATTATTAAAAATAAGAAATTGTTATATCAAATTGAGTTATTGCGTTTAGAAATGGCCCAGTTAGTGTTGAGTTGGGCTTGATAATTCCAAAATGTTCTTCTTAAACCCAGCGAAATTTCGCTCAGCTCTGTTTAAATCCATGTGTCTTAGGCTTACATTTCTTTCTGTTGATTTCACAAGTAAAACGAGCTCAGGATGGTGTCTAATCTTTTTTTTCTTTTGTTTTAATTGTATAAATTACTATACAACATCAGTTTCCTCTTTTTTGCTAAATGTAATAATTACTGGTTGTCTGCCGCATTGGTGCTTTAACAAATCATAGAAAATTTTATTGATCGTTGATGTTAATAACCAAATTCATCAACACATTAATGAACATATAAAAATATAAATACATAAAGGGTACAAAGTTAAAATAGTATTTGTTGCAACGGAGACAGAATGACCCCAAACTTTATACAGGATAATTTAAATAAATGAATAAACAAAAATATACACAACTATTTAATTGTGTCAACCTGATATAGATCTGAGTTATTAAAGGGCTATTGAGCGGTCAGTTGCTTGAATTAAATCTGAATTAAACGTTTATTTCTTTTCTACGCTTTGATTTTCAAAGTTTATAGATATAATATTTGAATTATTCATGGGAACGCGCGCCGTCTATATAATTATGTATAAGGAAGATTACGGTAAAGGAAAATTTTATTGTTTAATGTATTTATTTTGCGACCTTTTCCATCGTGATTTGTCGTAAAAAATTATACATAAAGGTTGCTAACCCTTAAAATTTCATCTGTTGATCTACTGTCGAGTAGTTTTACTAAGAAAATCTAGTTTGGCTATTTAAAAAAAATACCATGCAAAATAATTCAATGTCTGCCTTATATACCGGTCAACTTACATGTCTGGGTTCGAATGTCTGCGTGGACCGAGAATAACCAGCTTCAGAGGTTTTCACTGTTCAATGGTGGCATCCGAGGCGTTGACAGAGAAAACATGCGTTGTCGTTCGGATGGGACAGAAATTCCGAGGTTCACTGGTGAAAGGGTTAGCGTATACGTAAAAGAACCTTTGGCACTATAGTGTATGCGAATATTCCGCAGTCTGAGCAACCCACACGTAATGAAATTAACCAACAATAAGTCTCAAAATCATCGAAGTATTGTATTGAAGAAAATTTAAACAAATAATTATTGTTTGTGTCCAGAAATTCATACTTGAAATTTAAATTAATTTACACAAAGAAAACAAAAAAATGAATTATTGATTCTGTAATTTATATAAAATAGAAAGAATAAAAAAATAAATATATATGTATATATACTGCATACCAAGGATAA